ATATAAGGTATGGGACTGACGGAAAGGTCTGTCACCGCCCCGTTCTGCATGCTGCAGCGAAGTGTACCTCAAAAGGAAAGAAAAAGTGCACTTTGACAGGAAGTGCTATTCAAATAAAAATGACCTGATTCCATACATTTGAAATCTCTCAATTTTCTCTTTGTTTAGAATTAGATAAACATAATGTTTATGTTTTATTTAACTACAATGACTGGATTTTACTCGAGAAATTTTTATTTTAAATTTAATTAAATTTTTACCTCAAAATCAAAAACATAATTATATTGAATATATTTTACATAATATATTAAATAAAATGTACAAAGCCACAGAATCATTTCTTTCAGTGCAAGGGGAATTTTTTGGCTCAATGTGGCAAACTACGTACAGTAACATCCTCTAAAAACCATTTAGTCTTTGGCTGAAACTTATCAAAAAGTGCTGAGGGGACTAAGCAGCAAAGGGTCAGAAGCAGGAGGTGAGATGAGCACTTGTGGCAGCAACCTTAATGAAAACGTGGAAGTTATTATTTGTAGTATGCTTAGTAAGAAAACTAAAGAAAAGTCCTACAAATACCATCAGGTAATAAAACCTCAGAAATCTGGAACTGGGACAAACTAGGAATTGCAAGTCCAGGACCAAATGAGTGGATTTAAGTGAGAAATGAATAACATCATCTGCTGTTTTTAGTCACAGCTGAGCAGATGCAGTTTTACTGCCAGTCAGCTGAACAAACCAAACAAGAAAGCCAACAACAAGCCATCAAAACAGTCTAACAAGAAAGGGTAAAAGCATCCGAAAAGCTCAAACAAAAAATAATTTACCCACATTTATCCAGGCAAATCCCATTGAGATCTCTTTCATGGGAGGCCTGGGACTTGTATATGTTTTTGGGCTGTGGGGAAAACCAGAYTACCTGGAGAAAACCCACACAAGCATGAGGAGAACATGTTAACTACATACCAGTTCGAACCCAGGACCTTCTTGCTGTGAGGCGTCGGTGCTAACCACAGAGCCATCGTGCTGCCAACAAAACACCTTAAACTAAATAAAATACCAGTCATAGAAACACTAAACTTAAAGTATAAAGTAGGATTCCTTTTCCTTGAAGGAATGCATATTGCCTAKTACTTTGCATTGAAATGGAGCTGAAATGTTCTAAACAAAGCTACAGCAGAATTTGTTAAGTGTTTGGGGTATCACTTGAGGACAAGACTCCAAACTACCACACCACATTTTAGGTCAATATTTGTAAAAATGAACGTGTTACAACCATTTTTATGTTACCTACTGTATATATATCAGCCATTTTTAATTGAAATTACTTCAAAAGGTAATCGCTAACAGTTGAATCAATTTTACCAGCTCATCCATCAAATTAAATGTTATAATTTGAGGAATAGCAAGGAAAAAAAATAGTGTGTAGCTATCATTCTTGTGATGTATTTCAATGCATCTCCTTCACTTCTTGTTACAAATATTTACCCCAATCATTTTATTTACCAAAATATAATTGCCTAAAATTGCATATTCTTTTTTTTTGTCACTTCAGTAGAAAACGAAACCAAATATTAGTTTATTTAGTTTATTTATTTCTTCATCATCAGTGACTTTTTTTAAGTGAAGAGAAAATAGAGACAGAGAGAAAAACAGAGAGAGAAGTAATTAGAAATATAGAAAGATTGAAATAGCGATTAGAAGTGCATTAAATATACACCAACAAAACACAGGACCACACACCCAARATCTGTCCGCTCACCAGAAAAATAAATGGATAAGTACATGGAGGGCATATATAAATATTTACACATACCCATACATATATAAAGATATACATACATACATACATACATACATACATACATACATACATACATACATACATACATACATAC